TTGGATAGTTTCTATTGCTATAGCTTCAGATTCACTGATCTTTTATTTTGCAGTCTGACCTGTTAATTTTATCCAATGTATTCTTCATCTGAGACATTGCTATTTTCATCTCTAGAAGTTCAGTTTGGACCTTTTTTATATCTTCCATATCTCTAACATGTCCAGTCTTTCCTCTCTCTTTTTGAACATATGTAATATGGTTATTATAATAACTGTCTTAATATAACTGTCTTAATATTCTTAACTATCACTTCTATCCTCTGCATCATTTCAGGGTTTCAGTTGATTGACTTTTCTTTTCATTATAGGTCATATTTTTCTGCTACTTTGCGTGCCTGATAATTTTTTATTGAATGCTATATACATGAATTTTACCTTGTTGATAGTCCTATAAATATTCTTGAGCTTTGTTTGGGGAAGTGGTTAAGTTACTCAAAAACAGTTTGATCCTTTCAGATCTTGCCTTTTTCTTTAGTGGGACCAGAGCTATAAGTAGTAGAGGGCTAATTGTACCCTACTACTGAGGCAAAACCTTTCTCGTGTGCTCCTTGATACTATATGAATTATGATGTTTTCCACTCTGGCTGGTGGGATCAAGACCTATTCCAAGCTCTTTGTGATTTTGGGGAATTATTCCATGTAAATCTTCTCAGGTGAATTTTTTTTCTGCTTAGGGTAGTTCCCTGACATCAATTAGCTGATCAGTACTAAGCTGTAGACTCGAGGAAATCTACAGATCTTCAGAACTTTCTCTGGATAGCTTTCTCTCATTAGATATTCTGCCCTGAGAATTCCAGCTGCCTTGGCCATCTCAGACTCCCAGCTGCATCTTCTCAACTCAGGAAGCCTGCCAGGCTCTGCCTGGGTTCCTTGTCTCCACGCTACACCCTGGAAATTCTCTCTAGGCAGTAGGCTGGGGTAATCTTAGGACTCACCTCAATTGTTTCCCAACTCTTAGGGATTACTTTTTTTTATTGCCTTTGTCCAATGTGTTGAGTGCCTTCATTTTATATATGTTGTCCAATTTTTTAGTTGATGCAGGCAGAGGGTAAATCTGATCCGTTACTGAATCTTGACTAGAAGTGGAAGTCGTTTGCTAATTAACTTGTATGTGTGTGAATTAACTTTTTATTGAAGTATCATATATAAAAATATTCAAAAAGTATACAACTAGATAAATTTTCACAAACGGAGCACACCTTTATAACTACCACCCAGAGAACAACGTTACCAGCACCCAGAGGTTCTCCTCACACTCCCTCCACATCACTCTCCATCCCTACTAAGGGAACCACTGTCCTGACTTCTAAACCTAGTCACTTGCTACGCTTTTTATTTCTGCTGTCCTTCTGTTACTTTTCTGTCAGTGAGATTGTTTTTCATTGAAGAATTTGAACTTCAGCTTAAACAACTAGCATGTAATTTGGTATTGTACTTATCTTTCATAGATAAACGATTCAGCACTGAGACACACAGGCCTCTACTGCAACCAGCTTTCATCTACTGACCTTCTCAAAACAGAAGCAGACGGAACCCAGGTCAGTAAGAAAATTCTAAGTTCAGTGCTATCAAAGTCACTCTAGAGACCCAGGAAACTTTGTGCAGCATCGTGGTTAAGAGCCTGATCTTGGGAGTCAGACCTGGGTGTGAGTCCTGGCCCTGCTCTTCTTAGCTGTGTCATCTTGGGCATGTTAGGAAACTTCCTAAGCTGCTGTCTAACCAACAGAACTAACAAGATGCCTGCTTATAGGATTGTTGTGAGGGTTAAATGAGATAAGCTTTCATAAGGTTTAATTTAATGTGGCTACTAATTACTATTTTGTAAATAAACACAGTACTTAAATTCATGTGTAATCAGAATACCTCATAAGATCTCAGTAAATTCAAATAAAACAAAATGTCTGCTGTGTACTCTCTCTTCTTATTAGAAGTTTGCTTTAAAACATTATAAAAAGCATGGGTGGCCACTTTTTAATATTGACCTAAATTTAGAAATGTTGGACATTTTAATTCACTACAGTAACTTGGTTTAGTCTTAATCTCTTAATAAATAGTTTTAAATTTTTTTTAAATACCAGCATTATGCTTAAGGTGCTGATACAAAAAAACATGAGACATGTTTGCCCTTCTGGTGAACTGAGAAGAAGTGAGGAAACAAAGTTAGATTTGTGAAATGTGCTTTATCTCATGTAAGCCTTACTATAACCCTAGGAAGGAGGTAGTATTCCTTTTTTTCACAGATGAAGAGGCAGAACTTGAAGGGATTTGACCATATGCACAGTTCACAAAGCTAGAAAGTGGCAGAGCTGTGGTTCAAACCCAGGTCTTTCTAGCGCCAAAGTCCATGCTCTTTCTGCTACACCACTTAGGGCCTGTTGAAAGATAAAACACATAGACATGTGCACATAAATGATCACATAATCAAACAAGGCAAACTCAGATTGTTATAAGTAACAAGAGCCATAAGCATTAAAAAAAAAAAGAGAAGAAATTGCTGAGATGGTTAGAAGAGCATTTCCACAGGAGATGGGACTGAGCTGGACCTTGAAGGGTAGTTAGCAAGGACAAGTGAAGAAGAAAAGTATTCTGATTGGTTGGTGGAGGCTGGGGTGGGG